AGAAAATATAGGTTGTCTGATGTAAATTTTTATTTTAAAATAAAAAAGGCGGTTAATTTTTTATTAAAAATGAAAGAGATAGGTTGGCTTATTTTTTATTTAAAAATGAAAGTTTTGGCTTATTTTTTTAAAAATGAAATGGTTGGCTTATTTTTTTTTAAAAAGAAAAAAATAGGTTGGCTTATTTTTTTAAAAATGAAAGAGACAGGTTGGCTTATTTTTTTAAAAAATTAAAGAGACAGATAGACTTATTTTTTTAAAAATGAAAGATTTATTATTTTTAAAAATGAAAATTACAGGTTGATTTATTTTTTTTAAAAAAATGAAAAATATAGGTTGACTTTTTTTTAAAAAAAAAAAATTTTGAACGCTATTGTATTTTTAAAAAAAAAAAAAAGTTTTTTTATTATTACACTAATTAAAGTTTAACTTGCATTGTAGATTAATACTTTTTTTTTTTTGAGAATAACGCTGAATTTACAATAAGATAATAAACAATAAATACATTTTGAATGTTCTGATATAAACTCTTCTTTTATCCTGTAATTTAAAATATTATTTCTTATTTTTACGAAATTATAAATAATTTTTACAGAATGGCATTTTGTATAACGAATATCTTTTTCTAAAAATGCAATCATAATGGATATTCACATGATTGTCAAATTAAATATTATACCGCCTTTTACCTTATTTTAGTTTAATCAAATTATTTAACATATTGACATTGATTATGCAATGTAATATTTAATAACCGCTCATTAAAATTTATTTAGTTATTTATAAATAATATTTATTTTTTAGCGATAGAATTATTACATGTGTAACTAATGATTTAATTTCTATATAACTAAGCTTTAAAAGGTCATTTTCATAGATCAAAACTTGTATGTAAATTTATTGTTCTTAAATTTGTATCATGTGATTAAGATCGATAGAACTAAAATTAGTACAAATTTTTATTTCTCAATTTTTAAGACAAAATATTTAATCGTCTTTTATTTTAAAATAAATTATTAGTTTCAGACTTTAATTTTCTTAGATCAGCCCATATGATAACAATAATATCTCTTTTAATGATACTTAAAACTCACAATAATTTCAGTATCAAGTAGTTAAAGATGGCTTATTATATTGAGAGATAAAAAGGTTATTTCAATATGAGTTAACTGAAGCTAAGTAATATTAGATTGGTATTTACTTGATATATCTTCATGATCTCTTAAAATCTTATTTTCTTTTATAGAAGAAAAAAAAAGAAAATAGGTTTTTTTATTAAAAAAATTGATTTTTTTTATTAGTTTTCTTTTAAATTATTTTAAATATTTTTATTTATCTACCTTAAAAAAATTGATTCTAAAATTTGTGAATTGTAACTTTGGTAATAAATAATTCTTTTAATATAAAAAATCAACAAAAAGGTTAATTAAAAAACTTATCATATATTCCATCTCATAGTCTTATGATTTTTATGATTTTTATGATAAAGATACTAATATAAATATCTTTTTATCTACATTATCTTTGTTTTGATCAACTTTTAAAAGTGATGAATAATGTAGATCAAAAATGTGATAGAGTATTACCAACTAAAAGATTTTTTTATCTTATATTCTAAAATGTCTGTCTATTTCTAAAAGTATCTTTTCAAATATAACTGAATTTATCTATGCTTTTAAACTTTTATAGTAATAGACTAGAAAATATTCTAAGTTAACTTTTGAAAAAAATCTAAAATGCTTCAAATTACCAATAATCTATAGTTTTAGTTTTTCAATTTTTGTAGTATTAACACAAAAAAAACTATAATTCTAATTTTATCCTTTTTCTATTATGAACTGAATTTGTTGAAAATGTTTAATTCAAGACCATTTAGAAATAAAGCCTTATTTTATCTATATTATAAATTTAATTAAAAAATTTGACTTAATAGTTAGCATAATTTTACTTTTTTTTCTAGAAAGATGCTAATAATGCACTTTTTGATTCTCTATGTATATAAAATCTACAAAGATTTATTATATTTTTAAATTTTTATAACCAGTTATTAGAAAAATCAAATCAGTTTTCTGTAAATCAAATATTTTCAGCAAAACTTTGACTTTTTCTTTGATTAATAAGTTTAATAAAATAATACCATTAGATATTATATTTTTCACTTACAAATTTATAATATAATTAAATAATAGATATTTGACTATTTTATATTTAAATATCTGATTAGAATTATCACAATCTTTCATTTGTCACATTATAATAAAATCTTTGATATAATACTTCAATTTATCTTCAAGTTCAAATATTTTTTATTAAAATAATTAGCAATATTTTATGTCTTTTATTTTTGTTTGTCTCTACTCTCTTGCAAATTTAATGTCTGACTTTATTACTGATAGTTAAATATTAAATAAGTATTATAATTATAATTAAATTATGAGTTAGTTCTATAAAAAAGTTCTGTTTCTGCTATATAAAAAATAGGTTTGTTTAAGTTAGTAATAGATTTTAAATATATTTTTAGATTTTAATAGTTTTAAAGATTTTGAACATAAGAAAAACTGTTCAAAATTTATCTAAAATTTGTTTAAAACTATTTAAAATTATCTGAAATTATCCAATTGCTTAATACTGGTTTAAGTAATATAAAATTTAAAGTTATAGAATTAGAGTTATAAAATTAGAGTTATGATCATATGTTACAATATTATATAAATATGTTAATGATTTCTAATTAAAAATAATATTACCAATTAGAAGTTAGATAATCTTCAGAAGATTTAATTATATAATATTATAATATATCTATTAAAGAATTATGTGATGATAGTGATTATAATCAAAATATAATTATAATAAGGTAATTTTATTTTTTATAAATTCGTTATATATAAATAAGTATATTTAAAAAAATATGCTTATATAGAATATGACTGTATAAAGAGTTGACTATATACTAAACTGGATAATACTTTTATAAGAGTGTTATCCAGTTCAGTTATAATGTTACCTAGTTATGAGTAAATTGTTACCTAGTTATAAATATTATTACCTAGTTATGAGTAAATTGTTACTTAGTTATGAATATTGTCACCTAGTTATGAGTAAATTATTACCTAGTTACTGTTTTTACTGTTCTGTAGCCTTTTATTGCTTTATAGATATCTGCTTGATTTTATTACTCTGTCCTCTTTTTATTTGCTTCTAACTATCCATTTATTTTTATTGCATAGCAGTCTTTTTGTAACCAAGATATTAGTTTAACATTGATTGCTAAAAATCATGTTATGATCGGGTAGCGCAGTTAATTTGCAGATCAAATTTTGTCTGACACTATGGCATGATTTCTAGCTGATCTTTAGGGCGGAATATCTTGACTTTCTGTGATTGGTTTCATGCAGTTTTATAGTTGTTTGAACGAGGGTGTTGAGAGCTTTCCAATGATGCTAAGACTGCATTAATCGGATGCCTGAATGTTGAGTTATTGCGTCTTAAAGTTTGGAAAAAAAAATATGAAATAGTACTGGCCAGAATTAACGAAATTTATTGCATCTTACTGCATTAATCACGTATTTCAATTCCTCACCAATTCTAAGCACTTTTCCGTCACTTTCAAGTAACTTTCAAGGGCCTAGTTTGGTGATCAGTTGGTTAAAGGATCGGAGGTACAATTTGCATTATATTGATCAGCCTATATATTTTCCTTTTCGATTACCATTTCTTGATTGCTGGATGAGGCACATGCGAAGTGCCAATGTTATGCTATTTTTAAGTGGTGTAAAAAAAAGATGATAGATAGCGCAGTTAATTTACTACCTCTATTTTCAATGACAGCCTGTCATATAAAATTTCAGCGATCTTGATTTACCCAAAATTATCATGTGATATAAAAACTCTTAACAATGTTAAGAGATTTTTCAAAAATTTAATACATAATTTTACGAGATGTTGTTAGACCATTATTACAAAATAAGTAAGTATAATGTTTATCTTATTTATTTTATTCATCTTATAAAGTATATTCATATTCTGTAAGTGTTTCTATTATATTTTATCTTAATCGAATATAGAGTAAATATCAGGTATGGTAATATCCTTGCGAATACTACATGTAAAAAAGTTTAATTCGTATGCATCTATTTATTAGTACTTTATTAAATTTTTGCAAAATGCCAGTATTGTGCCATTCTTACAATCCTGCCTTTCGTGACCATCTTTTGATTGCTGAGGATGAGACACAAAGTGCTGAATTAGTTCAGGCTATATTGCTTTCATACCCTTTTTTCGTGCATCTTCCTGAGCCTTTTTGCCTTTCCGATCTCTTTCCTGCCTATCGGCGGTAGGCCCCAAGATAGAATTTCTTATTTTCTTTCCTATATATAATTTTACTTTGGGGTACTACCAATTTTATATCTTATTTTTCGCCTGAGCCTTCCTAGATTTTTTTCTCATATAGTTACTACTCTGAGATACTTTAGGATACTACCACATCGATTACTTTTAGATATTATTATATTGATTACTTTAGGATACTACCAGTGTCTAAAATTCAAATTTTTTTTAGTTGCGGGTCTGCAACTAAAAAAGTGGCTTAGATGCAGACTATTAATTTTAGTTGCATGTTGTGCATCCAAATTTAATCACAAGGTTGCGTTAATTATAAATTACTTGCGGCATAATAAAAAACTAAAATAAAAAAAAATTGCATTTATATTTATTACTCATAAATTTTATTAAATTCAAGCTAAAAATTTTACAAATTTATTTATTAAATGCGTCTTGAAAACCTTTGCTAAACATTAAATGCCCTTTCAAAATCAAAATCTTTAAGCTCAGACCCATTCATAACAATCATAAGATCAGAATTTAGAGCTTTAAGTTTCATTTGATTGTGTACTTTTATTTTAATAAGATTTTGTTGAGAAAAACTCTTTCCACATTACCATTTGAAAGTGGCACAATTAATGAATAATTAACTACTTTGCTTAAATTTGAATAAAGTGTTAAAAATTGAGAACTGGTAAAAATCCGTCTCCATCCATTTGTAAAATTAAACTCTTGATAATTTTTAAAAGCAATTTTGCCTCACATCATTCTTGAATAAGTCCAGTCTTATTAACCTTTGCGAGAAAAACTTGCTCATTCTGATATTTAGAACTTCCATAAAAATCACCTAATATTTTGATTTCATGTTTACCATATATTGCTATTTCATTTGACTTTGTTGGAATTTGAGAAAAATCAAAAATTTTCATAGCATTATAAATTCCAGTATCCAGAAATCTAAGACGAAGATTATTTACTAATGCAATCATCAGTAAGTTTTTCAGGATCGGGATCTTTAGAGAATCCTAAAATTGCTTAAGAATCCTTTAGGATCCTTAAATTTTTAAAATCTTTAAAGAGTTTTTAAATAAATTTTAAATATCCTTAAAGATTCTATAAATTAACAGATTCTTTAAAGTTTTTTAAATATTTTATCTTTAAGGTTTTTTAAATTTTTATTTTTGAGATTCTTTAAGGATTTTTTTTAAAAACTTTATTATTATATAAATTTTAAAATGTTTGTAATATTAGTTATTATTGTTATTATTATATTGATACGATTTTAACTATTATAAATAAATTTTTTAAAATAGAAATTTATTTACAAAAAATTCATTTTCATAATTAAAACGTTTTACTATATGTACTAATCCTATAATAGAATTAAAAGGAATTACATCATAGCAATTCACAAGTTTTATATGTGGACATTCGTATTTTATGGGATACTATTTAGAATAATAATCATACCAATGTACTAATGCAATTGGTAAAAGTGAACAATTAGAAGATAATAAAATTTCTGCTAACATTAAAATCTAAGTTCAAAAATAAGTTAAATATAATAAATAAATATAATAAATAAGTAATTTAAAAAAATTACACTCACTTTTACATAACATATTCCATTATCTGTTAAATAATCAGAATCATCCATTGCAATAGCCACATCACTAAATTTAGGTCGACCATAAAATCTACTAGTAGCATATATGATTTCCCTATTTGTTAATATTCCAGAAGCATAAATTTTTAAGTTAATATTTTCATTTCCTGAAGCATTTGATTTTTCGTCTAAAAAAGCATCTAAACAATAAATCAAATTTTGTATTCCCTCAACACATAAATCATCTATATCTTTTTTATGTTTTAATTTTTGTTCAAGAATATCCAATTCACTAATAGGTAGTTTTCATAATAAAGATCGCATACAATCTAACTTTAAAACAGTTAGATTTTTTGATTCAGCTGTAATTATTTGTCGACGAATCTAATTATTATTAAAATAACATTCAATTGATTTTTTTTTTGAAATTAAAAAAATAGACAAAAATATCTAGAAACAACTTATAACTTACAGTTTTAATTATTTGATCAAGAACATTTTTTTTATTAGATATTCTATATAGATTTTTTGACCCAATTTTTGTGTAGTGTTTCATACGTCTCAGTGGTTAATCCATTAATCACACTATAACGTCTGATAGTATTAATAGTATGATATCGCCACATATAAAGTTTTGGTAGGCGAAGTTTGCTTAGTGAGAATGATTTAAATAAATTGATAAAATCATTTGACCATCGGATGATTTCTTGCTATAATAATATAAAAAAATTGAATTTATTAAATAAAATAAATTATACAACTTGTAACAATTACCTCAAAATCATTCAATTCATCTTCGTTAAATTTTTCTTTTCTAGATGTTATATACATTTTAACAAATTTCATAAAACATTGAACTAATTTTTTACAATCAACGAAATCATTAATTTGATATTTAGTTGTATCATCACTTATATAAAGCTCATCTAATACAAATATAATTATCTTCATAACATCTCACATTTCTGCTCTAGTAAATCTTGTTCCTTGTTGATATCCATTACGCAATATTCTTAATCCACTAAATGGTGTAATAGTGGCTAATCTATTATCCATTTTGGTAATAATCTGATTTTCAGATTGACGCATAATAATATCCCTTGTAAAGTTAAGCATATACGGAAATAAACCAATTTCCTGTAAGTGCATACGGTCTAAAGCTGTTGCATCATAAATATTCATCATTCTAAAATTAATAACTTATATGGGGGTCTTTGCAATAGAAATGGAGGAAACTCAAAAAAAAATAAAAAATGAGTTAATAATAAATCTGAACAAATTATAGTATTTGGAACATTTTTGGCTTATAAACTAAAATTTTAATTTTTTTGGAGTTTCCTCCCTTTCTATTGCAAAGGCCCCATATAGTAATTAGTATTACAATAATATAATTTAAAAAATAAATATAAATTTGATATTACCTGAATTTCTAGAAAAAATTTTTATTTTCATGAATAGAATATTTTGCAGCATCATGAGAAAAAATAGCTGCGCTCATATTTTCATGAGTTCGGAGAATGATGGAATTTTCATCAATATGTATATTATTCAATTGATCTCCTGGTACAAGACATTTGTAGCAAGGACATGTTGTACAATATGATTTATAAGTATAACAAATACTTTGTACTTCTAACATATTAGCCAAAATAGTAGATATATGTGAAATAAAATGTTCTACTTTTCCATTTATTACTAAATAAATACCTTCATTTCAAAGAAGTGGGCTCAACAAATATTTTAGAGCACGTTGTTCCAAATCTCGCTTATATTGCTTAAATTTCTTAGATTCTTGAAACTTTTTATCTTGAGTAATCAATTGTGGCAAAAATCCAACAAAGACTTTTGCATCGGGTAAATTCTGACGCCAGTTAGGAATGTTAGTAAGCGTCAAAATATGGGGTATTCTGAATGTCAACCATATGTATCAAGTATAGTACCATCAATATATAACATTACTGCAAGGATTTTGCTAAAAGGTGATTCTCTTTTATGCTACCACTCGGCAGTATTTTGTTCTAAATACACTTGCATCAAAGTTCCATCCTTAGTAAAATAAAAATTATTAATTGATTATTATAATAATAAAATTTTTAAAAAAAAATTTAAACTTACATCACGAACTTCCCATTCTTCTCTATAATCAAGAAAAAAATCTTTATATAATTCACGATTATATGTAAGACTTTTTATTATATCAATAATTGGATGGTACTGTAATTTATAAATTTTTCCTTCAAATTCAACTAGATCTTGTGTTTTTAAATGAAGATCTTTAATATCCATTGTATCCATATACTCTCGTCCTTTTCGGGTAGAAGCAGGTAATTTTTCAGTATAATACTTTTGTAATATCTGTAACATTGCATCACCTGCCGCATCTGAAAGATGATAACGTGTTATATTTGTCATAAATTCTTTATATATCTGACTTGGCCATGTAATTGGTTCTTGATTATAATTGTTATTTAAGTCATCAATTGCGGCAGCAAAACTACCATCACGAGAATCTTCAATATCTCCAGCAGAACTTATACTTTCATCACTATCTTTTGATAATTTACTTTCTTCTTCTTCTATACTTTCATTTTCTTCTATATTGCCATTTTCTTTCATATTTCTTACACTCTCTTTTTCCATATTACTTTCATTATCTTTTATTATATTTTCATTTTCCTTCTCATTAATAGTATTTCTTCATTTTCGAAATATAATATTTATGATGATGAATTTTGATCATCTGATGTATATTTCGATGAAAAATTTTCTTCATCACCTGTTTCTTTGTCTTCTTTATTAGTATCGATATCCGTAGAATCAAAATCATTTCAGATGTTATTATCCAAATTATCCAAAGATTGATGTGATTGTTGCTGTAATAAATTTTCATTTTTTTGGTTTCGCACCCAATCTAATATCCGTGAAGATTGACTGTATGGGTGAAGTTAGTTGTAATGTTGCGTAAGGTTTGCTCTTCGTGAAAAACTTCTTTTGCAAAGGTTACATTTATACATTATAATAAAATAGTTGTAATGAAGATTAAATTTAAAGCACTTAATTACAAAAATCTAGAATTATAAAAAAAAAATTAGCCAATAATCAATTATAGTAATAATGGTGCGGAGATAGAATTTTATTAATATTATATATTTACTAGAGTTTAAATAAAGTTTCTTACTTTTTCACGTTTTTTATAAAAAAATTAATCAATAACCTTTTTTTTAACTTCATTAAATATTTTCCAACTCTTCTTAATATTTCTTTACGATGACTAAACAACAAAAACAAAGGGAAAAGGTAATAATATAAAGAGTAAAGACAAAAAAAAAAATACAATTTTATTTATGATTTTTATAATATTATAATGCTTACTCGAAAAAACACAAATAATGATACGGTTACTAATGATTCTAAGAACAGAATAAGTGAAGCAGATAAAATTGCTTCAAAGTTGAATTCTCGACATATATTTGAAAATAATTTCATTTTAAATTATCGTAATTATTATATAAATTAATATATATTATAACTACAAATATTTTTTTTATAAAAAGCTACAAAAAAACAGAAAAAAAACCCTTCTACTAGCATTATTGATTCTGACTCAACAAACAAAGCAAAACGTAATCTTTCGAACTAAGAGGATCAGGATCAAAGGGATAATTCAAATCGTGCTATAAGCGATATTGGTAATACATCTGTTACACGTGATATTGGTGATACATCTGTTGCATGAGCTATGCAAAATGGTATTTCTTTTCGTTAATAATAAATTTATAATTTTTTATAACGAAACTAATCATTTACTCTTTATATTAGTAGATACAACATCTCATTATCGGCCTATTGTAGAAGGTTGAAAATTGTTTAGCTCAAAATAAAGAGATGTTTCAAGCAATTTGTGAAATCAAAAATGAGCAAAAGGTATTTTACAAGGAAATTCGTGAACGATTTGATGAAATATCTAATAAAGTCGATCAATTGATGATTCTGAAAAATTCTTACTGGAAAGTACGTTTAAATAATTTTTAATTTATATTCAATGTTTAACCTTTTTTATTTTTTTACATTTCAGAGTTTAGCATCGAAAACTTGTAAAACTCAGCTACCCATTCTTAGTATTTATCCAGAAGAATCAGCGTTCCAAAAAGCTTTTGAGACTATACTCGAACAAGAAAAACCTGACTATATCGAGAAGCATGAATCTCAATGGATACATATTTATTTGGGACAAATTGAACCTTTGGTAACTAAATTTTATTTAAATATTATATTTTTATTTTTTAAAATTTATTATTTTTATTTTTTTTAGTATTGTGAAATAATTAAAGCTCGACGTTGTGACAAAGTCAAAAATATCTGTGCTACCATATTTGATATTTT